TAGTCCAAGTTAATGTTTAGTTCTATAATAATTTTATATTCTTTTTTTTTGGTAATTAAAGTTAATTGTATTTTCTTTTAAATCTAATTTCTTGTTCATAATTTTCATTTCCTTTCACAGTTATTTAAATCAATGAAAATAAATAAATTCATCATTAGTATTAATAATAGACAGTTTTATTTTCTTCTTTTTCTTCAGTTTGTTTTCACGTTTTATGTGTATATTATATTGTTTTTTGAATATTTAATGGTTGACCGTTGCATTATAAAGGAACGAGATGGTCCGGGGATTGCGGTCATAAAAAGGCTAAATAGTGGTAAAACTATTTTATTGAAAGCCAACGTTTCGACCCGACTTTGCAGGTCTTCATCAAGATGAAGACCTGCAAAGTCGGGTCGAAACGTTGGCTTTCAATAAAATAGTTTTACCACTATTTAGCCTTTTTATGACCGCAACCCCGGACCATCTCGTTCCTTTATATTGTTTTTTGTTTTTTTAAATGAAAAAAATCCGAAAAACTCAAATAAGTCGAAACGCGGTGGCCTAATCTTAAAATGGAGGTCGTTTTCAAAATCTACGGCTCCGGAAACATAACAGTTGACCTTTATATTGGATAAATTCTAAAAACCTAAATAAGTCAAAACACAGTGGCGTAAACATAAAATGGATGTCATTTTCAAAATTCACATATTGGGAAACATAAAAATACACCCTTATATCGAATAAATCAAAAAAACTTAAATAATTCGAAACGCAATCACGTAATCTTAAAATGGAGATTATTTTCAAAAACTACTCATACGATAACAGACCCACACATCGAAAAATTAAAGATAATTAAATAAATAAAAAAAGGTTGAATTTGAATTGGAAAAGGTTTAATTTGAAATGGAAAAGGTTTAATTTGAAATGGAAAAGGTTGAATTTGACTTGGAAAAAGTTTAATTTGATTTGGAAAAGGTTGAATTTGACTTGGAAAAAGTTTAAATTGACTTGGAAATGCTATATATACATATTTAAAAAATCTCAATGCCAAACTTTGTCCAATTAGCATATTGAGTTATTTGAGGAAGTGGGAACTTATTCCAGCTAGCGTCATCAGGGTCTCCCCAGTCACCTCTTTAAGCTGTGAAAATGTTCATTCACCAACTTGTAAAATCAAGCGGCACTCGTCCCTGATAATCACAGGTTCTTGGATAGGAAAAGAAAATCCAGTTTATACCGTAAAACTAAAGTATTTCACACACGAAAAATCCTTAGCGTGCCTCAACACTCGCGAGGTTCCGCCATCTCTCTCTAAACTGTCTTTTGTTTTTCTCCCTCATATGTTATCTGTTATACTGACTTAAAATTAATACTTAAAACTAAGACTTATTATAAACTAATACTTATTATTAAAACTAATACTAATTAATTAATTTTATCTTACCCTCTTCGGGATAATGAAATAAAACATTACTTTACGAACTAATTTTTTTTTTTGTATTTTATTTTTCGTTACAGTTTTTGATTTTTGTTCATAATCGTTATTCTTAAGGGATATACATAAGTATTTATGTATGTACTCCTCTATGTATATATATATGGGGATGGGGTAGTTGTACGGGCTTAGGCACTTTCAATAGGTAATCAAAGTTAAGCAATGTCGAGCGTGGTTAGTATTTGGATGGGTGACCGTTCACCAGGGAAAGCCCAGCTGCCCGAGTCCTGCTGCCCCCTCCGGGTATGTGAGACCTGTATGAATGAACAATATTGTTATTCTCAAGGGTCTGTGTCCCAGAATAAAATTTATTTTTCTACTCTATTCCGTGTGTGTATATCTGTGTGTGTGAGTGGACAGCCTTGCTCAAAAACAAAAAGTCGTATGAAACTGAAATTGCGTATTCAAGGTTTATATATGCCTGGACTGTTATAGCAATATTTTCATCAAAATTTTCAAACCGGAAGTGGCACTTTATATCATCGATTTAACACATTTTTATGATTTACTCAATAATGACTACAATGATTTTGATTAAACTCGTATGCTAATGAACAATTAAGTGTTTTTAATATAAGGTAGATTTTATCCTCATTGAGGTTCTCCGACAGGGCTTACATAAATTTAATTAGAATAAAATTTACTTTTCTGTTTTTCTTTCTTACATGCCAATTTTTATAAATTTTTTCCTATAAAGTACCTTTTATATTATTTATTTTAAAAAATTGACCTTTTCACACTGTAAATAATGAATAATGATGGTTAAATATAAACAGTGAAAAAATTGATTATTTAATAAAGCTGTAATAAGGGATCTAAAGGAGAAATAATGAGGACCGAGAATTGCCAAAGAGACTCGAGCACACACTGAGGGTAATGTAGAGCCGAGAACTGCCGAAGAAATCCGAGCGCATCCTTTAGAGCTTGGGGAAATGTTAAGACAGTCATCTAAATGTAACACGCTGAGGGACGTACATGTTCCGATAATATTATTTACTTATACATGTGCAGTTTTAATTAATATTAGTACTGGTATTATTTAATACTTAATTGTATAGAAATGGCAATATACATATTAAAATTTGTGTGATTATAAGTGTTGGTAGAAATAAAAATATCCCCCATGAAATATTAATGAATATCCGACCTAAAAAAATATTGGGGTATTTAATTATTTATTAATTATTGTTAAATAAATAATTAATATATACAGAAAATGTTTTGTGATGAAAAACGCACAAAGTTAATAAATTGGAGAAATGAGGAAAACATATAGTAATTAATTTTTTTAAAGAATATGTTTTTACATTCAGTTCCCTATGTATGATATTCCTACCAGCAGAATATTTTAATAGTTGTATTATTTTATTAATCTGGCCCTGATAATCTACATGTTTTGAGCATAAACCATCAAACAATGAACTGATTTATTTTTACTCAAAAGTAGGGTGATAAGTGAAAGTTATATGATGTGCGCCCAAACTTTTTAAAAATAAAATTTAAGTAATACTGCTAGATAAAATTAATCAGTATTGCATTTTCTGGTGTCATTGATGTGTAATATTTTAGTAAAGTGAAATAAAAATTTACTTTATTATTCTGAGACAAAATTCAGAATAAAATTAACATAACACTACTTCGTAGTTAAATCAATGTGGTCATACTCATTAATATAAGTAAAATGTAAATGAAAAGGTAGCACAAAGAATAAAAGATATACAATAATTAAAATTAAAAAACATATAATGGAGTAGAGATGGTTGACCGTAGTTATAATTTGAGTAGAAGTTAGTTGGTGGTGCGGTTAATATATAATAACGCCCTAAAGAATACTTACAATGTAGGTCAAAACATTTGGAAATACAAAAAAAAAATACTATTATATGATGCAGTATTATATATTGACTGCACCTTTGACCAACTTCTCGAAAAAGTAAATAAATAAACAAATGAAAAACATTATAATAATAATATTGGGTTGGCAAATAAGTCCTTTCGGTTTTTATGTTTATTTTTATGTCACTATGATACATTCTTATCTGATGAATTAATCCCTAAGGTGGATTGTATATCCTGTTTGGAATCTATCAACAACTATATCTGTTTATTAACTCTTGTTGAAACTAGCTTAGTATTGTGTTTACTATTGCACTGTGTGTATGAAAGAAAATATCATTCATTATCGTCATATTTTGTTGTATTAATTTAAAAAAGGTAATTGTGCTGCTATAGAAAAATTTGCAGTGTTTATGGGAATGATGACTTAACCGAACCCACCTGTTAAAATTGGTTTACCAAATTTCATTCAGGAAGTTTTGACATCAATGATGCTCAACAGTCTGGTCGCTCACATGAAATTGAAATGAGCAATGTTAAGGCCATTGTTGATCAAAATACCATCCAATCAGTGCGAGAGATTGTTATTCCTTCTCCATTGCTGCTCTAATTAAGGCTCCTCCTCATAGAGGGGCAATTCCTCTTTCATCAGTTAGTCTTTTGGAAAAGCTATGTTTGGAAATGAATGAGATACAGAGTATGGCGTATATATATATATATATATATATACACACACACATACAGGGTATCTCAGTTCTTAATGGATAACTCTAAGGGATGATTCTAAAAAAAATTTTCAACAAAAAAGTTCATTTGATGTATGAGCCGATTCCTCTGGAAAAAGAGTTATGACCAGGTTTTCTCAAGGTGGTTGCGTTTTTTATTGAATAAGAAGGATCAAAAAGGAATAACTTATCAAGATAACTAAATTATGAGCACACCATCATAAAGTAAACAAAATTTTCTTTGAGAACAGTGGTTAAATTAAAGATGTTTTCTTTATGTTAGATAAAAATATTGAACAAAGATCATAAGTAAGACGCATTTTTACGCATTTTCATAAACGTAAATATTGATCTTCCCATGTCTCTTGCAATAATACCTTCTCTTTCTATCAATGTACTATGTGTAGGTTGACTTTCCCATCCTTCCACCATTATTGTTTCCCAGCATTAACTAGTGAGGAATATAAAATGATTATTATTTGACACCATGAAGATTCAAAATCTATGGATTAACATTCTTTTCTCTTAAAAATAAATGGTTTAATAATTTAATACATGAGAAAACTCTGATTTATTGAGAAACACATGATTGCATTATTAGACCTGAAAGTCTCTTTTAATCTGTAAGTAAATTTAATCACTATGGGAATTTGTCCATTTAAGAACTGAGACTCTCTCTCTCTCTCTCTCTCTCTCTATATATATATATATATATATATATATATATATAATTTATTTATTTATTTGAAGAGAAGAATAGTTGGGGTGGTCAGTCAAAAATGAAGGCAAAAATAAATGATATTTATTTTTACAGGCATATGTAAAAATAAATATTATCATTTTTTTTGCCTTCTTTTTTGACTGACCACTCCAACTATTCTCTTCATTATCCACGACTGTCAACCATTTACCAATTATTTATTTATTTATTTATATTTATTCATATTTCTTATTTACAGGTATAGATACTCATTAGATGAATTGCCTATAATGCTTCAGAAGTTAAAACTTAAAGCAGAATTTTGGAATGTGTGGATGACTAAAGTTCAAGAAATGATTGATACTCATGAAACAATAGGTAATGCAAACAGATAATGCTTTATTTTAATATTTGTTACTAATTTATCAATGATACCTTGTTTTCAATATTATCAGGTCTTGTACTATAATAAGTATTTTTCCATTCAAGTTTGAAATAGGATCCAGTTTATCTTTTTAAACAAAATATTTTTAATATGTGTAGATCGTTGCCCGTATAGTAAATCAGGAAGGAGATGGTCTGGGAATTGTTCAGAAATAAATATCAACTATTTTAAATTATTTATTCAATGTTTTGTCCAATTAATAAAGTAGTCAAAAGAAAAATGATTTTTTTAAAACATAATATCCTCATTGAAAGGTTACAAGTGTTCATTCATACAATACATACCTACAAAAGTTGAATAAATAATTAAAAATAAAATAGTAATAACAATGATAACCATAACAAAATAAAATAAAAATCTGTTGTGGTGCACGCATCTCACAACTTTCACTTACCACCATTCTTTGGGAGAAATAGGTATTTTCAAAGGGACAAAGGGAAGAGATACTAAAAATCACATAGGGTACAAAATATTTTTTGAAAGAATCAATTACCATATGTTTTTCACATCCGTATAATGTATTATACTTGTATTTCTTTTACTAATCATCTCTTTAATGAAGGTATATTTTAATTATTTATTTGATTATAATAAATAATTAAGTGCTCCAAAATATTTTTAGTCTGGCATGAGTGCCACAGATAATAAAAGCCGCTGCAGATAATGTATATATATTTCATTGTAGGTATTTTTATTTGTGTAAGCATTGGTAAATATATATACATTTTAATTTTTATAATGGTGTAATCTATACAATTAAATATTAAATATCAATTCTTTATGAAACTGCATTTTTTGAAAACCGCACATGATTTATAGAATGCCGTTCGAAACTTCCCCCAAGCTCGGATTTCGTCGGTTCTCCATTATTTTAAGCTTCTTCTCCTTTAGATAATTATAGAATTCTTTCATATTTCATATTTAACCATTTTTTATATCAGGTTCCACTGTGAAAAGATTAATTATTTCAAATAAAAACAATTAAAGTTAGTTTAGAGGAAGAAAATTTGTCATTTAAGTGCTGATATGGAACATCAATCAGAATAAGACCTACATTATATTAAAAAGCATTTAATTTTGCACTGATGTAATGAATTTAGTCAAAATCGTTAGTCGTTTTTGAGAAAATTGTAAAAATGTCTTATTGAATATTTAATAGTTGACCGTTGTATTATAAAGGAAGGAGATGGTCCGGGGTTGCGGTCATTAGTTTTACCACTATTTAGCCTATTTATGACTGCAACCCCAGACCATCTCATTCCTTTAAAAATGTCTTAAATCGATGATATAAAGTAGCACTGCTATTAGGATGACCAGCTTGCCTGTGTGTGAGCCATGCATTGTTGATGGTAGCATTAATAAGCCATGTAAATAATGACCATCTCCACTTTTTTTCACGAATACTGTCCCTTCTTTGGCTGATGTCTTCATTCATTCCATCAGTTTCACCCATATATTTAATATATTGATTTATCAATATCGGCTGATTTATTGATATATTTTTTCTACCTGGCCATGAGTTGCAAACCATGGGCTGTTGAAGCGACAGATACAACATTATTGTCTACTCACTTGCAAATAAGAATGTTGTCTTCTTTTTCAAGAGCAGCTGTTCCTCTTTGCATTTTCTTCATTGCAGCTATATTTGGCAATGGGCAATCTTTTTAAATTCGATAGTAGCGAATTGTCTCTATCCCACGGTAACCTCGTTCTTTGAGGCATTTTAAAAGATTCAAACTTGTGAACAAGTTATCCGTATATATATATATGGTAAGGATATATTTTGTTTCTTCTGGTAAATTATCCAAAAATTTAATCAGAGGTGCCTCAGCTTTTCCGAAGGTCTCATCATATTTTAGATTTGCTGCCTGAGTCTTTCCCTGGTAAACTTCGAAATCAACTAGATTGCCATTTCTCGTATTCAGGCACCAAACCTATATCCAAAACGAATTGGCTTCCCACGGATAAACTGTTTGCATCCATGATGACCAAAATATTTTACCACTGACTCATCGTAATCTAAACTTTCATAAGGAATAAAATATTCCAAACAATTTTCTTTTATCATATCCATAAATTGACGCAACTTGTACATTTTGTCTAGATTGTTGAGCTTTGTATGATCTGCAGCATGCATAAATTTCATTATTTGAATAAAGCGATCTCTTCTGATGCAATTTGAAACTAAACTATTATTATTCGCATCACTGGTTAGCTGTCTAGCTGTAAGGTTGTCGATGAGTCCTCCTTCATCTTCATCAGCACTGTCCTCGTCCGTGAGAATATTCAGTTCGGGCAGAACAATAAATATGCCAGTCACTTCTTCTTGTTCATCACTTTCATCACTGTGCATCAAATCTTCATTTGCTTCAAGGATATGGAGAGCCTCTTCAAGTGTGAAATTTCTCACAAATGAAAATTTTTTCTTAAAAAATAAAATAAAAACTCTCAGCAAAACAAAATTATTTATTAAAATATGTTTCTTAGTAAAAATCAAACTATAAATTTATACTATAATAATGATTTCAATAAATTTATAATTTATAATTCCATTCGCGTGATAATTTATATGTACACACTCATTATCCATGATTTATTTGTTTTAGATTTGTATAGTATGTTTCATAAAATAATTCTCTTAATCGTTCCTAAGTATAAACAAGCAATTATATATTGTTTCACTTTAATTCGCAAATAGATTTGTTTAAAATTCAAAAATGAATTTTTTTAAAATTGTGTTAATAATTTCAGAATATTGCAAATAAATAAAACCACCGTAGTTTTACCAAGTCTATAATTTAATTTCCTAATTAAAAAAAAAAAGGCCATAATAATTTTATAGAAATTTCAAAAGGTAGTGCCATGTCCGAGTGTGACATATATGTCTCACAGAGTTCAGACCTAAATTATGCAATTACAGATTTTTTATCAAATCTAAGATTTTGTATGCTAAAACTATAGGATTTAATGAAACTAAAGCATGACTAATTAAAGAAATAACATAAAGATATAAAAAGACTTACTATGCTTCAAGATTGACGTTCATTGTAGTCTGATTTTACAACTTTAAAATAATCACAAATAAACAAGCACTGTTTAAACCCACTGTTGGCACACAACTGACTGTCAGAGACATCTGCAGGTATAGGTATTTCACTCTCAACCACCAAGGAAAAGGAGGAGGGATGAAAAGACAGGTGGCATTTTGCTGTGACTTATACCTCACACTAGGCTTTGGATGGTTAAGGAAAAAGTTGCAATAATATCCCAGCCATATACTTATCTTAAATACATAATATCAGTTTCATATCACTTTTCATTTTTGAGCTAGACTGTTCACGTACACACACAAACCATTTTGTGGAACTTTGTTATTTGGACTCAGAGGACCTCAAAACGTGTATTTCCATTGAAAACTCATTTGAAAATTTTCACGATTGCAATACTTTCCCTTACTACATATTACATATATAGATAAATAAAAGTAAAAATATGCACTTGAGAAATACAATGGTTCTTAGAATAGAATAGAAAATAACTTTATTCTGGTACAAAGTCCCTTTAGAATAACAAAATAGAACATAATTAAAATACTACATCTGGCCAAAATAAAACAATAATAAAAAAGAGAAAGTAAAGAAAATATTAATCAAACAAGCTATATACAAAAAAAAAAATCTATATACAAAACACTTAAAACTATGATAAAACACTTAAGACTATGTACAGTAGGAAAAATTATAATAATACTCTTTATTATTATAATTTTTCCTCTTTATTATTATAAGGTTCTTATAAGCCTTCTTAAACACATTAACCTTCTAGTTGAGCAGAGTGTTAATCAAGGTGAGGTGCCATGTGTGCGGGGTACTCAAGGTTTAGAAAACCCTTTGTGCGCAGGTTTTATTCACTGAATTTGATTTTTTTATAACTAACTTCTACATTTTTCTTTAATATGATGTTAGTTCATCTTTCAATAAACAGTTCAGTATCTTTTCTTAAATTTTCTTTTAATTTTATAATTTATTAACTGTCTTTGATTACTTTTACATTATACTGCAACATTTACATTATTTGTTGATATATTCTGATTTTTTTTATACACTATCTTTTGGTACATATAGTGTCATTATTTTTTTATTCTTCATTTGAAATTTTTATTAGCCTTTTTTATTATTAATCAATTTCTGATGTAGAAAATTTTAAAAAACGTTTCATTGTATGGTAAATTTGATTACATATATGCCAAACATTAAGAAAATATTAAAAATCATTTTCAACTTTCCCACTTATAAACACTATCAACTGCTGTTAGTTTTAGAGCCAAACTGTGTTCAAAAGACCAGAGAAAAGTGAAATAGGAGTGGAAGCAGCAGGTATACAAAATGCTGAAGTCAGAGCCCTCACCCTAAAGGGTACCTGCAACTAATTAATACATCTCATGCTATTTAGTGGTTCCAGGAATAACCTATGACTCATGAGGTTTTCAGTTGAGAGCTCTGTAATGAGCCAGAATATTGGTGCAACTAAATAATAAAAGAGCTGAAGCCAGTATAATGGCCAAGGGCATGGTCTTTCCGGCGCCAGGATATTGGTATTGCGCTCTGGCCTACCAATGGCACGGACCATTATATTGGCTTAGCGCATCTAAAGGGTTAATCCTTATATACAATATTTACATTCGCCCAGATAATACTGAACAAATTTTTATTCCCACATGTGGTAGGCAAAGCAGGACTCCAGGAGATCTCAGTGCTTCTCTTTTAGCCGCATAATTGGTATTGGAAACTGCCTGTAGAGACTTAAAGAGAGCAATAAAGCTACAGATACTCAGGACTTGAGTGGAGAAACTGGCTATTGCCAAATTTCTAAAAGCAATTTGGGGCTACTACAGTTTTAACTATCATCAGGATGTCCAGCGTACGGGAAAAAA